GGGGGGGGCAGGCTGTGCCCGGGTACCGCTGGGCTGCGCGGCCCCGCCCCGCCCGCTCCGGGGGCGTGGCCTAGGGAAGGAACAGCTCGGGGGGGCGTGGCCTATTGAGGGACCACCCATTTGGGCGTGGCCGAACGAGAGCTCACCCATGAGGGGGCGCGGCCTAGGAGGCACCACCTTTGTGGGCGTGGCCTGGCTAAGCGACCGCCCCAAGGGGGCGTGTCCAGGGCGTGTCGGAGCGGCCTGGCCCGGCTCGGCGGGGAAGGAGCCGGCGGGGGCCCGGTGAGTGCGGGGGGCGGCGGGGATGGATGCGCGGAGGGCTGCGGCGCTTCCCCCTCCTGAACCTGCAGGCTTTTCGCAACCCCCCCGATTTCCGGCATTTCCCTCTCCCCCGGCGCCTGGCTCGGCCCTTCCCCGCGGCCGCTCGGCGAGAGTTCCCTCGCCGCCTCGCAGGGCCCGGGCGGTGCCGTCACCCGTTACGAGTCGTTTTGCAAAGCCCGGCGTTGCTGCGGCAGCTTGACGCTCGCCTTGCAAAGCCCGCTGGTGTGGCGGTTAGTTTACAGCTCGTTTTCCAGCGCCTGGTGATGTTAGCCAGGTTATGAGTCATTTTACAAAGCCTCGATGGCGTTATATTAGTTTACAGGCCGGTCTGCACCGCCCGCCGGTGTTGCGTTGGTTTACGAGTCGTTTTAGAAAGCCGGACGGTGTTACGCTAGTTTACAGGTTGCTCCGGCGTCGATCGTTTACAAGCTGTTAATTTTTTCCCGAGCCTTGGCTGAGCTGAGGTTTCCTGCTATGCAAGGCCGAGGGGGCGGGTTAATCATTAATTACGGACAGAAACTGGGGTGTTGCTGTGCCCGAGCCCATCCCCGCTGTGTCCCGGCGCCCTCTCCCACGCCTTTTGGGGCTCCAGTCCCCCCTGTGCTCAGCCGGTTCAGGTCACTCACCCGGCACTTGCCAGTGGGCCGAAGAAGGGAGCCACACGCAGCAGCTTGCGAGCAACGGTTGGCGTGATAATATATCATTTTTGGTGGTTGTTTTTTGCAGCGTGCCAGCACTATGCATCCAGCACCCAGCAGCTTTCCGCCGGACGAGGAGCCCCTGATCGAGGAGCTCTTGGTCAACAGATACAGCAGGCAAAAGCCAAGTGACCGCTTACATGGGGCCTACGTGATTTTTTTCCTCCTGGGCATCGGGACCCTGCTGCCCTGGAATTTTTTCATTACAGCAAAACATTACTGGATGTACAAGCTGCAAAACTGCTCGGATCAGGCAGGCCCGGCTGGACAGGCGGCTTCTGATCTGCGGGTGAGTGTGCTGCTTTCAGGCAGAAAAAAAAAAAAAGCTGATTTCCTTCCTAATTTGCTCTTTTCCCCCTCTGCTCCCCCAGAAGGTGAGTGAATGTCCTCTAGGGTTTTGCCAGCTGCAAATCAGGGGTAGAGGTTTATTTGGGGAGCACAAGTACTTACAAGAAAGATAACTAAAAACCGTAGCACTTTGTGATCTTTTATCTGTATTTGAAGCATTAAGCTTTAAGGTGTGTTAAAAAAATTTGGCTTAACCTGCCCCATAAGCAAGGCTGCCTTTCACAGGACAGTTTCTATGGTGCAAGGTATAAATCTCTTTGTGGTTGTTTTTGTCCTTCACGCTTGGTGAGCACCCACACCCCACAGGACTCTGTGCTTTCCCAGCCAGACTTGGCTGCAATTCCTTGTGGGCCAGGAGATAAGTTGATCTGAGCTTCTGGCCCCATGGCGAGGCATCGAATGCATTTTAGGCGTTTTCTCCCTTGCACTGGCTGGTGCAGCACGAGGTTCAGAGGCAGCAGCAGGGCTTGCATGAGCACCAGCCCTGGAGCGGGTGGCTTCTGATAGTCTTGAGCCTCTCCAGATGCTTTACTGCTTTTCCTTCAAGATCTGTCAAGTGTGGCTGGAGTATCTCCTTGCAGCGATAAACATCTGGCTTTTGACAGATGGGATGAAGAGCTTGTCACGGGGCGATTGATGAGCCAGCCGTGGGGCGACAGGCTTGATGGCCTCTCTTTTTCTCTCCCAAAAAGCCACCTTCTCTTGCTTCTTCTGCCATGGCAGGATTATTTCCCTGTGCCTGACAAAGCAATGGTGTTTCTTTGCAGCTGGAAAAAGTATCAGTGTGATGAGGCTGTGTCCTGTCCTCCTCCTGTTGCCAAGCTTGTTCAAGTGGTTTGGGCATATATTTTATTTTTATATAAACACAGAGCCAGGTGTGACACCCACATTTTCTCTATGATTTCTCATACCAGTATGTCTTCCACGGCTGTTCTGATTTTAATGGTTGTTAAGCTGTCTGTGGTTTTGATGGGAAGGAAGCAAAGTGTCGCCAACAGTGCTTGTACCAGGATGCTGAAGTAAAAGTGTGCTTGTATAAATTGAGAGACTGGGTGGATCAAACTGATGGAGACCAAGTCCTTATGGTGCCCAAACATCACAAATAGGGTGCCCCTGCACTAGCAAGGGTGCTCAGAGAGGGGGAAAAAGGGTGCTCTGCCACCATGGGTCCTCCGACATTCACTGCATCCCACTCGCTCCTCATTGCTTCCATCATACTTATCCAAGGCAATTCTTGATAAAGCTCTTTTTTGAGTAAGTATGTCTTTCTCCTAAAAATTCTTGCATGACTGTATTCCCAGTTGGATCAGCCATTGCTTTGATGAAAAGATGTTTCTCCTCTTTCTGTATGGCTGTGGTGCAATATTATTTAATTCCTCCTGTGAAAAGCAACCCGGCTTTTCTGTGGCAGTCAAGCCTGATCAGAAATACACGTCAGACCCATTTCTGTGCTGGGATGGCGAGCCACGATGCTGCAGCAAGAGGGCTTACCTGCAAACAGAGCTGGACTCTGGAAAGGTGCATCTGTGACTGGCAGCCTGCTCTTGGCTCCAGCTTGCTTGCCACAGCTAATTTCATGCCCCATGCTCCAGGTAACGCTCCGGTGCCTTCAGCCACCACCATGGGCCTGGTTTGCTTTTCCAGCCCAACAGGAGCCCAGCTGCTGAGTCCAGACCCGAGCAGCATAAAACCTGCTTAGCAAAAGCATCTTGGCAACGCCGGCCGAAGCTGGTGACTAATTTACCACCACGATGCTTTGTTCTTGTTTGGGTTTTTTTTAAGGTACCAAGTGCACAGCGTGGATCATGGCAGTGTGTTTGAAGATGCTGTAGTTAATATAGGGTCAAACACCTCCATTATGTGCCTCAGCTCCACGGCTGAGGGATGACACCTTCCCCGTGAGAGGCAGAGGTGGGAGGAAGTCGACTTTGGAAAGAAGACGTTGGGTTTGTTTAGGGGGTTATTATTATTATTAGCCAGGAAGGGGGTGACAGTCTTTCAGTGTTTGCATTTCCCCTCTAAACCACGTCAGCAATAGGGAGTTCAGCCTTTGCGAGCAAGGGATACCCAGAGGAGATGAGCCAGCTAGTCAGGGAGGGGTCAGCAGAAAGGGAGAGAACTAGGTATATCTTGCATAGCCAAAAATTTCCTCTGAAAGCATATCTGTGATGTGTGGGAATACCCACACAGGGAGAAAAGTTACCATCTGAGCTGGATTAACACCTAACATGCAGGAGTGAAGAGATGAGTATGGAGCTTGATACTTTCCCTTGATCTGAGCATGGAATAAGTTTGCCACCCACCATTCTGCTGCTGCATTAAACATGTGGTGTGAGGGCTTTCCTTTCTCACAGAAACAACAGCAATTGAAATCCTTCTACCTCGCTTTCCTTTTCCAGCAGGGTTTGGCCGTGGGTAAGGCAGGGTAAAATTTCCCAGTGCAGTACAGGGTTCTCAGTTTCTTAAATACTTTCCCTAATTCTTTTCCCACCTCTGATATGAGCATGTTTCCCCGGGGTGCTCGAGATGCAGCATCTCTGCTGGATTACTTCGAGTACACTTCTGCTTGGTAGAAAGCATTATACAGTCTTTTTTCCTCCCTAAAAGAAAACGAAAATTAACTTGGAATTAAATATTCCCAGGCTGGTCTGGGGGTTTGTTTTAAGTAGGTTGGTAAATAAGTCTTAGTTTTAGCAACCAACTTTGCATTTTGCTTTGTCTTCTCTCCTATAATTCATCGTATGGCTGTAGAGCTTTGAGCCTCCTGCTTTGCCAAGCTGATGCTTTAAGTGCAGGCATTTATGTCTCCATGCATATGGACCCTCTAGGAGCGATTATTCTATTTCCTGTTGCTTACAGTAAAGCTCCTGATAGGGAAGAATAAATGAACACGCTTGCAAACTGATTAAAAGACTATGATGCAAAGCTGAAAAAGAAAAAAAAAAAAGAACGTGCAGAGAAAACGTGCCAAGTAGCTTCTCACGCTTGGACGCGACATGGCCTGTCTCTGTAGCTAGGTAACTGCAGAAAATGAAAGCCCATCGCGATGGGGGTGGATATGTAGGTCATCCTCTTTGCGAGCACTGTCCTACCTCTGGCTGAGATTCCCGCAGAAAAAACAGGGGATTAAGCACCTTGAGGGGAGGGAGAGGGAGCAGACACACTTTAACAGCCTAATACATAAAATGGATTGAAAATGTAAGCGTTTGGCTGCAATCTTGGCAAAGAAATCTCTCTCTCTCTGTTGTGGTTATTGCTTTCTGCGTGCACAGCCTGACCTCTGTGCGAGGTGGACGGGTGGATATTGACTGGTGCTGCGGCTGACTTGCTCAGATGATATACGAGTCCCCGGAGTGAATGTGTGTTGAGTCTCAATATTGTTTCTCAATGAGTTTCGCGCGTGCAGAGAGGGAAAGTGGGAGGGAGAATAATGTCCCTGTGTCCCCACTCAGGCTGCTTTTGCTCGAGCATGTTCTCAGGCATGGTGTCCCAGTCACTTTGCATGGAGAGGGATGCACTGGTTTGCTAGACATGGTGGGCTTTTGAGGCAGTTAACTAATAGTATTAATGCTTTTGGGTCCTGATTTAGGAAAAGCAGCCCTCACGGAGCTCAAGTAGGAGAAAATGTTCATGGGGGTTTGTCCAGGATACTGGAGCCAGCTGGAGAAATTCAGACCTCCTTATTTCAGGTGCTGCCCCATGGGGCCAGTGCAGTAGTAAGGAAGGTATTTCCTTCACCATTTTTGCTTCTGGGTTTGTTATGTCCCTAATTTGCTGAAATATCCCAGGGCTGTTGCAGGACAAAAAAGCCCCGGGGGCCCATTCCCGCTGCCTGTTGTCCTGAGTAGTTTTGCAACACGTGCTGCAGCGCAGCGAGGTGGATGCCTACAGCATAACTCCCCATTTGTGCTGTATTGTGCCATATTTAGGAGCTGAAATTTGTATGTTGTTCTCCCCCTACCTTTTCTTCTTTGTTGTTTTTTGTTCCTGGCAGGACTTTTTTGAGAGTTACATCTCGATTGCTTCGACTGTGCCCTCGGTGCTGTGCCTGATCGGAAACTTCTTGCTCGTCAATAAGTAAGTGCCGCTCTGTTCCCGGGTCTGGTAGCTGCAGCTCTCCCCAGCTTTGCCTGCATCACTCCTGCCTTTCTCTGGCTTCAGCTGTGGCTCCCATCTCAACCTCTCCCTCCTCTGGTGGCAAGCCACAGGGCATCGTGAGCACACCTTCCCTTTACATCTGCTCCTGCCTGAATCGCAGCCGGCTGAGATGAAGCAGGGTGAGGCACCCTGCTCCCTGCCAGCAGCACCTGTGCCTGGAGTTGGCTTGAGTTACACCACTGTAAATAAATTCCTAATAAATCCCTTGGTTAATTGCTTGGCAAATGGTCTTTCCTCTTAAAAATGCTGTTGCTGGGGCCCAGCTGATGAGGGCTAGGCTCATCCAGGCAGGAGTAATGCCTTGCTCTGGTCCTACCAGCAGCTGAACTGGGTTGATGGACAATCTCTGCCTCGTTGCAAGCTTGACTCAAACCTAAAATAGCCACCTCCCCTCATTTGTACCTTTCCTTATCCCAGATCAAACTCCTTCGTGTTTGGAGGCAAAGGGGAATGCATTTGTGTGCTTAATCTCTAGATCCTGGCCATCGGTCTGGCTCCCCACCTCTGTGCCTTGCCCCCTCCGTCCTGCCCCCACCCCAGCCCATCCACTCTCCCAGCTGGGCAATAAGCCCCCTCTGTGCCTGGGATGGCTTTCACCCACCCAGCCATGTTTTCCAGACAGGCTTTATCGCTGCTGCTGTAGATTGTTCCAACGATGGGGATAGCTCCTGATTTCTGAGAGAAATGGGTACTTTACAGCTCTGTTGGCCTTATAGTCCTACTGATGGCAGAAGTGGAAATCACAGAGTTAACATCAAGAGGCTTCTGAGAAAAAATCATTACTTTTTATTCCTCATCTCCCCCCCGCTTTCTTTATTTTCTTTGATCCTTCTCATAGCAGAGGAGTTGGTGTCCTCTAACGCCTTCACATTACAGTTTTAAACACAGGAACCTGTCCTTCCTCTTGTCCCCAGGGTGCCTGCCAGCGTCCGGATCTTGTCCTCCCTCTTTGTAATGCTGGCCGTCTTCCTGGTGATCACGGTGCTGGTGAAGGTAGACACCTCCACCTGGACCACCAGCTTCTTTGCCATCACCATTGGCTGCGTGATCATCGTCAGCAGCGCCTCGACCATCTTCACCAGCAGCATCTTTGGGCTGAGCAGCCGCTTCCCCATGAAGAACTTGCAGGCGCTGATCTCGGGTTGGTGACCCCCAGCCACGCCGTCCCGGTGGGATCATGCTCTTGGGTTTTCTGTGGTTAGGTGGTTGGTTTTCTTTCCCTCATGCATCTGGGATTTCATCACATGGGGGTTTATTTTAGAAACTTAACTTTGCCTTAAAGATAAAGGGAAGTTGCTGAAGGAGAAACACGCTTGGTCACATGAGCCGTTGCTTTTGTTTCTGTAAATACCCATAAACCGAAGTGCTTGATGGCTCAGCAGAGATGGGGAGAGCAGCATCCCTGCCCAGAGTGGGGGGGCAAACACCCTGCAGAGCAGCCTCAGCCAGTGTGACAGCTTGACCTGTTGTTTGGTCTGTGCAGGGAGAAGGGGGAAGAGATACATCCCTCAGTTCCTCTGTTTGCAGCTGGAGGAATCTTCAACTTTGCATTGTCTCCTCCTTTCCATTCAGCATTTCCATGCGTTTCCATGAGTGATGAGGGGTACATTGGGAGCCGTGAGTGATGAGCTCCCTGGAGGGTTGCTAACATTATAAATGTGCTGTGGAACGGCTGACAAACCAAGAGGAGAAGAGGAAAAAAAGTCAAGACTGAGAATTCTGCCCAGGGCTGAGACAGGAGTGTTTTAATGAGTTTATCCCAGCAGGGGATACCACCACATCCCCAAGGTGTCATACCTGTTGCTGCTGGCCTGAATTCCCATCTGGTGGAGTGCAGAAGAGAGGTGGTTGTATGTGTGCCAGTAGAAAGGAGGTTTAGGCTTTGGTCAGAGTTTAGACCTTCTCTACAGGACTCAGCACATGCAGGCCCAGGTTGGGTCCCATGCTGACCCTTGTGCAGTGCTGCCCTGTGTTGGAAGGGGATGCAGGATGGGACCTGGGCTGCAATGCAGCCCCACAAATAGCTGTGTTGCAGCAAGGTATGGAAATGGAGATGAGGTGGTGTGCGCAGTTGTACCCGGAGCTGGGTTTGAGGACTAGTGTGTAGGGCAGGGGTGTGAGCTGCTTCCCCTAGGGGGTTTGTGCATGCCAAGAGGTGTTAATAAGGGGATGCTGCTCTTTCTGGGTTCCATCAGAGTCCTCACTGGAGGTGCTGTGGGTTGCTCTCTGCCACCTCGATGCTCCTCACCTGCGCCCATCTCGGTCAGGCTCTGCCTCGAGCACTGAGCTCCGGCTCTCTGGTCCTCTGCACAGGTCAGGCCATGGGTGGCACAATCAGTGCCATCGCCTCTGTGATAGATCTGGCAGCAGCAGCCGATGTTACAGACAGTGCCCTGGCCTACTTCCTCACCGCCGACATCTTCCTCGTCGTCTGCGTCATGGTGTACCTCCTCCTTCCCAGGCTGGAGTACTCCAGGTGTGTGCACCCGCCTGCCACAGGCACCCCGTGAGCACGCGTTGGGAGGAGCAGGGTTTCTGGGGAGACTCATGGGGTGCTTGCTGTGCTACTCCCTGCTCATTTCACCCCCTGGCATCCCCACGTGCTCTGCTGCCACCAGCCATGCTTCCCCATTTGTACAAAACCACAGACTGAAACTGGGCACCACCCGCCCTGGCGCGTGCTGGGTGTCTGGCAAGTCTCCCTGGGGGAGAGGGGTGCTGACACCGGGGCTTCCAAAATGCCTGAAATCAGCAGAGAGCTGTAACCTGGCAGCAGCCAGCCAGGTGGGTTCCCGTAGGGCATCCACATCTGCAACATCGTGTACCAAAGTGCTTGACCCATTGGTCTTGTGAGTGCTTGCAACCCCCAAATGCCTGCATGCAGTCAGTCCCCTCTGTGAACCACCAAGGGTGTAAAGGGGTCCCCGTGGTGCAGAAGAGGGGGTGGTGGGTCCCTGAGGGTCACTTTTTCGTACAAGATGGGAGCTGGAGGTGCAGTGGCATCACTGCAAAATGCCTTCAGTCAGTCCAGCAAAGATATTCCTGCGTCACCAATTTCCCCCCTGCTCTCTCTCCTAATCTGTGTTTCGCACACACACACTTGTCTAATAATCTCCCTCCTTCTCTTTTTTCCAGGTATTACATGAGCAGCCAGAAGGAGAGCCCGTCGCTGGTCCCCGTGCCACCCGACAGCTCTGCAGAGGATGAGGCAGATCTGGGAGGCATCACAAATACTTCCTTCCTCACAAAAAATGCTGGCATCCCCCCAGTCCGCCCCATCCTACAGAAGACCGCCCTCCTCGGCTTCTGCCTCTTTTATGTCTTCTTCGTCTCCATCATCATCTTCCCTTCTCTCTCCTCCAACATCGAGTCGGTCAGCAAGTCCTCGGGAAGCCTGTGGAGCACCAAGTACTTTGCACCGCTCACCAGTTTCCTCCTGTACAACTTTGCTGACTGGTGCGGCAGGCAGATCACTGCCTGGATCCAGGTGCCCGGCCCCAGGAGCAAACTGCTGCCCGCCCTCGTCCTCCTCAGGACCATCTTCCTCCCTCTCTTCATCCTTAGTAACTACCAACCCCGGGCTCACATCCAGACGGTGGTCTTCAACCAAGACATCTACCCTGTGGTCTTCACGGTGCTGCTGGGGCTGAGCAATGGCTACCTGGGGACACTGGTCATGGTCTACGGCCCCAAGATTGTGCCAAAAGAGCTGGCCGAGGCGGCGGGGGTGTTGATGACGTTTTACCTCATGCTGGGGCTGGCTGTGGGGTCTGCCTGCTCTGTTCTCATTGTCCACCTCATGTAGAGGAGCAGCCGGGAGGGGGGTGCCCTCGGTTTGTGGTACTGCTGTCAGGTATTTAGGGCTTTTTCCCCAAGAAGCCAGGCACGCCGTGGTTTTGGGGCAGGCTGTCTGTCTTGGAGCAGGGTTGCATCCGAGGGGAAGTCCTTCTGAGAAGGGGTTTCCCCTGTGCTTGGGAGGTCCTGTCAGACACTTGTCACTCCCCAGTTTGACCGGAGCAAACGGACCAAAAAAGCCTTGTCCTCCCCAGGGACCTCAGGGAAGCACTGGGTGCACAGGGAAACCTGTGTCTCACCCCAGTGCCAGTGGGCAAGGGTGGCTTGCTGGTGCCACCACACTGGTTTTAAGCTGAAACCAGGGCCTTTGACAGCGCCTTGGTTTTTGCTACCTCGTCGTTACGAGTTTAGCCCTGCAGTGTGTTGGTGGTCTCGGGGCGGGGGGGAATCTCCCTTCATCAAGCTGTGATGGTGGTGTTGAGCTAAAGGGAATTTGAGTCCTGGAGCACCTTCAGGCAAGCTTCGGGGGTGGATAGCAGCCACTCCGGGGAGCAGGGCACCATTTCAGGGGGATTTCTTACCTTCATGCCCCAAGAAACATATGGAAGGGAAACCTCTCCACCTGGACTTCTACTTGCTTTAATTTTTCCAGATAAGATTGAATTGAGGGATCATCCACCTACCAGAATGGTGCCACTAGTCCCAGGGCTGTATGTCATGGCCAACCTGAGACCATTTCTCCTGCTGTGACTGCTGTGTGACCACTGTGGACACCAACTTAACCTGTCTGCGGCTGAACCCCAAGGAAAGTGAGATGCTAAGTGGTCCTAACCTAAGGTTTTTAAGGTGCCATTACTCTGTGTTGAGAAAGGTCTATAAAAGCCAAGGATAGGTCTTAGAGAGGCTCTGATGTGATGTTCACGGCAGAAAGCTGATTAATTTACATAGACAGGCAGCATATGGTCTCCAGATGTTTTCAGAGGGGTGAGCTACTGTGACACCCAAAAATACGGCCCACCCAAAGTGAACTGGCTTTTAAAGTCACTTAAACTTCCATATGCAAATTCAGCCTGAACTAAATACAATTATTGTATTTATTTTCTCAGATGGGGTGGATTTATGACCTAGGAGAGGTGAATTGGTAAGGAAAGATGTAATGGCATAACTTGGCATTGCAGCTGACGCTTCAGGGATGCTATCTGTTGGAAATACTTCCTTTAAGCCTGGATTATAGCAAATGTTCTGTTAGTGGGAGGTTCTCTCAGCATCTCCCACTTGCCTGAGTAGTGGTGAAGCTGCTGGTCTGGGTTGCCAGGCCATCTCCTTGCTGTGCAGGACGTGGTGGTTAGCGAGAGGGAGGATTTGGGACTGGTGCCTTTCTACTCACGGCTGCCCTGGCTTTGCTGGGAGAACAGCAGGATCGACGGTGGTTATTGCCACGGGGTGACACATAGGCTTGGTGAGTGTTGTTTTATTATATAAATCCTTCCTGGTGTTTAGGTTGGGCTCATTGGCCATACGTACACAGTTTTGCTTTATGTCTGATTTTTATTTAAACGTAAAATCCAGACACGAGTGGAAAATTTGCAGCGTGTGTGGTACCAAGGAGCAGCTTTACGGCACATGACTTTGCACATGTGGGTCCTTAATCCTGTTGCTTTGGTAGGTTTGCAGCCCTCAGTCCCTGGCGCTTGCCCAGGGGCTGCTTTGGGCGTTGTTGACCCAGGTGAAGCTCCACCTCAGCTCGAAGGGCAGCCCAAGGGCTGGCTGGGTGCTGCTCATGGGGGTGAGCACTCCCATCGCCTCCCTGGGCGCTGGAGCATTGCTTGGAGTAATGTGGTGATCAGTCGTGGATGGAAGGCCCAAGCCAACCTCGTGTGGGCAACCAAAATGTCCTTTTGTGGCCTTCGGTGCTTCCCACTTGAGAGCCTGACACATAGTCTGCTCTTCTTAACTCATACTTTTTCCCCCAGTCCCAGGTATGACGAGGTTCTGCTCGTTAGCTGACTGCTTTGCATCTCTGCTGATCCTCTCCCTCACGTTAGAGACCAAATACCTCCCGAGACAGAACTTAATTATCCGGTACCATCACTAATAAAGTTAATTCTTGGTACTGTGCAACTGCTGGTGTCTGGAGTGATTTCTCTTGGAGACGCACTGATGCATGCAGTTTTAGCTTGCATTTTTCCTTCTGTTCTTCCTTCTCTCCCCGCTTGGATTGTAAATTCAGAGAAATCACTGACAAGAGCCGGATGAAGGAGCCCCGAAAGAATTGCTTTGAGAGCTCAGTTATTCTAATTTAATATCTCCAAATGACCTGCAGGTAGGTGTGGAGAGCATACTTATTGCATCTGCAGGGGGAAGCAAGCAAAAAGGGAATTTATCCTTTGTCTTTGATGGTATTCAGTAAGGAAAGTTAAGAGAAATGAGGGGAAAAATCAATACAGGTTCAAATTGGGCAAGAATCAGGTCTGGGTATAAAGCAGGGACTGCTGGTGGGAGCACTGTGATACAGGGGTGGGTGCTGACAGGCAGCCTGAGCCATGAACTTGTGAGTGATCCCCCTGCAAAAGGGGGTGGGTAGTTTGTAGGGTATTGAGAATAATGGCAGGGAAGTAATTAGTGCTGTGTACCGCCTGGATGAAGTCGCATGTGATGCTCTGCATGGGCCATATCGAAGAACCCAAGGTAAGAAAACGCAGAATGATGAGGAAAACTGGATGCAAGGCAGAATGAAGGATGCTATATCTCAGATGCGTTAGTCAAAATGCAACCATGGTTTATATTTTGACAGTTTAAATAATGGATGTTTGATGAGGAATGCAGCCGTTGACCCCGGTTTCCAGTTCAGGAATGATGTGTGCTCCCTCTGCACCAGCATCGAGGTAGCACAGCCAGCAGAAATGCTGCGGGGGATCAAAACCTACTTCATGGTATTTAGCAAGGGGATTATGCTTTTTTCTTCTAGGAGCTTTACATGAGGGAGCTGCTCCCCAGGTCTTGGGACCTGGGACACAGGTCCAGAGGAAGACTTGGCTGTGGGCAGAGTTGTGAGCTGAGCTTGGGTCCGTGGGTCTTCCTTGCCTGTCCAAAACAGCGTTGTCAAATTTTACCTCTTTAACACCATCCCCTCAGCTCCTTAAGAGACAATAGCAGGCTTGTGAATGTTTTCACCATCTTCCAGCCAAGGGGAGTGTGTTGTGAGCTGGGCAGTGGGGGGAGGACCACGTGTTCTCTGCAGGGCTTGGCCTCATCTCACCAGTGGGTGTAAAATGAGCAATGCAGGCACTTGCAAAATTCATGAGGGTGGGCCCACGAAGTGAAACTAAATAAAAGATGGGCATGAATCCCTGCGCGGTGCCAAGTGGCAGAGCCAGTGTTTGCCCAGCATTGCTGGCAAAATGACCCGGAGGCTGGAGAGCCCCCGCGCTCGCCCAGCTCTGCGGAGGGCTGGCAGCCCGGCGTGGTCGGGACGCTGTGCCTGCCCCACGCTGGCTTCTCCAACGGCCTTCGGGGTTAAATCCAACTGGCCGAGGGGAGATGAAAGCTGCGAACTGGCAAAGCAACACCAGCAAGATGCGGGGGGCACGGGGAGCAGGAGGGGGTTGGATGAAAGGGCAGAAAGCAGAGGAGACGCATCTGTTGCAGCTTCTGCTCAAAGGAGACTAACTGAGCCTATGCTCAACCTTTTTTTGTCCCCGCTTTCAGCTTCACAGTGCCAGCCACTACTCCCTGCTTGAGCTGCAGCATTTAAATGTAGGTATTTGGGGGGCGTGTGCTCTAGGAGGAAACGAAACTTTTGTTACGGAGTGATACTCATCTCCCATCAGGTGCAAGGGGATTTCCCTCTTTCTCCCTGATCTCTGAAGCTCTGCCTAGCCTGTCCCTTCTCAGTGGAGCGCCCCACAGGGTAGGAATGCTGCCACCGCTCCATCTGTGATACCAGCCTTTGCATTATAGAGGCTTTGGTGCCGCACTATTACCCTTTGGGAGGTGGGAGCATCTTTGAAACAACCTCGTTATCCTTCAGCATCGCCTTGGTGGTGACCAAAGAGAAGCTCTGCTGCCTTTTGGCTGCTCCATTGCATGTGTTTTGGGGCAGGACTCATCCTTTCAGTGTTTTGCTGGGATGCACTGCAGGTGAAAACCCCAGACAGCTGAAGTGGGATTGCCTTTGGTGGCTTGACTGTGGGAACAGGGGCTCTAGGGTGGTGGTACACGATACCCAGCAGGCCATCCGCCTGGCAGCACAGAGTGTCCCTGTGCGTCTGCATTTGTACCTGGCCCCAGCATCTCGACGAAGCTCCTAATGAGCTCTGGTGGTCCCCGTGGCCAGCCAGGGGCCAGTGTCCATGACCTCGTTCTTAATTAGTGCCCTGTGGCAGCTTCATTTGTATGGGCAGCGGGGTCCCCGGGCAGCGCCCTGTTCTGCATGGCCGCTTGGGCAGCGTGCACAGAGCCATCACCCCGCCACAGACGAGGTGGTGCTCTCTGACCCCTGCCCCTCCAAAACGCTGCCTCCTGCCCCTCCGCAGCCATGGAAAAGGTATTTTCAAGGTATTTTAGCTCTTGACCCTTTTTCTCCTTCCACATGCTTGCGTGCGCGGGGTTGAAGCTTGCCAACCTCCGTGGCTTTGCGGTGAGCATCCTCCTGAAAAGGGGCACACGAGCCAAGGGCTCGAAATGCCGGCAGTCATCTTCTGCGACAGGGGCTCGGGGAGGGCCACAGTCCCCAGCAGATGAGCTGAGCTGATCCTGCCCCTCCACAGGCGCCCCAGAGAAAAAAAACCTCAGCCTTGAAAGCTCGCCAGCCAGCTGCAGGCTTGCCCGGCTGCTGTTCTCCTTTTACATGTTTTATGGAGTAATTTGTACTATATTTACACGACGGTGATAAACAGTTTTTAAAATGGAAGCAAAGAAAACGCTGTTGAATGAATTGTTACAAAAAAGCCCCGTTTGCCATTCCAGCAGGGGGAAAAAAAGGGATAAAAATCACCATCCTAGGGACATGCTGTTCATCAGATCTGGGTATTTTTTCCCTTGATTTGTGTGCCTAATGTGAGAAGAAGAAGTCGCAGATGCATGCTGAATTCTGCAGGGAACATATGCATGCATTTAAATCATTTACAGCATTTACTGGTGCAATTGTAAAGCACATTATTTTTCTGCATTTGTAATTAGGCTCTAAACAGATGGTGAAGGACTGTAGCTTCTGATTAGACAGGCTTGTGCTCTGTTGGACGGCACTGTGAGAACAAACTGAGCTGAGAAAGTTTTCCTCCTAATTTATCACGCCATGGTGGGGGGGGTAGAGTATCTGGGGCTGGCTGAGCACAAATTCCAGCATGCCCATAGCAGTCTGGGCAAAGCCGAGCGAGTCGGCGGGTCTGCTCCCTCTGCCATCCCTGCTTGCTGATGGATGGGGTGCACACAGCACCCCCCTCCCAGCTCAGCTTCGATTCCAGATTTTGTAACCCCGCCTCGCTCTGTGCTGCACAGCTTCGGGTACCCAACAGCGCAGGATGGAGCGTCTGCTTTGACAAATGCTTTTAATATGAAGCAGAAGGTTTGGGTTTGAGAAGGAGCTTTAAAGCTGGAGCAAGCTCCAGGCTTGTGGCTGCATACGAGTAGCGAGTGCGCATGCCCGGTGGTAGCTCTGCTCTTTGACATCAGCTTTTTCTGCCACCCTGGCAAGTCCTCGGCTTGACAAGGTGGGTAGAGCTCCCCTGCACCTCTCCTAGGGGCAACCTTGGGAGCTTCAACAGCAACATGGGATTGGCCCATTGGATCTTTATCTCTAGGATGTGGCTCCCATTTTAAACGAGTCACCTCAGAGACCCGCTAGCCTCATTTTTGACCTGCAGCAGCAGCAGCAGCTCTTCACAGCCAAAGTGCAAGTAGCGCCATGCTGAACCTGTGTTCCCTTGTATGCTCCCTCACTCAAGCTAGTCAGGAGTCACTCCTCACTATCCTGTAGTCACATGGAGGAGAATTTATTAGGTGGTTTTTGTACTTCTTCCTACAGTTTCTTATTTTCCTGGATTTCTTCCTTAAATTACAGGCCAAATTGTTTAAATGAGAGGCAAATGGAAGAGCAGAGCAACACAGAAGAGGAATATGACATGGGCCCAAGCAGCTCAGGTAGAACCATAGGACTGGAAGTTGGGTCACTGGGCAAGCACCATAGGTGCCCTCCAGGTTTCCCCTGAGGCAACTGTGTGACCCAATTTACTTTGTGTCCCCTTTGCTCGTTCCCTCCCAGCCGTGCAAATGGTGATCATCTTCCCCTCTGTTTTTGTCTTGCTGCTCCTCTGGGTTACCACCATGGTTACACACAGGGGTACCCAAGAGCTGGCCAAGAGGGAGGTTTTCCCCTACCTGGCATAGTGCTCTGGGTAGTCCCTGACCCCAAAAGTGAGAGACTGCACTGCAGGGAAGGTGATACGTGCACTGTGTGGAGCCAGCACAGCAAAGGGGGTATGGTGGCTCCACCAGCCATTGACTTTTGAGGTCCCCAGGTCCCCCTTTGACTGCCTGGCCATGTGCTCAGCCCACTGTGGCAGGGCACAGCTCCGTACATGGTGGTGCCTTTGCTGCCTGTGCTCAGCCTTCAAACCCCACTATGTCAAGGGGAACAGGATGGAGAAACCACTCGAAAACGCAGAAAAGCTGTGTGAGGGGGGTGGCGCTGAAGCCGCCAGCTCTGGGTTGAAGCCCTGTGCTGCCTTGCCCAGCAAAACGCAGCGGAGGATTTGTGGTGCTCCTGTGAGGTCGTTAGAGCAGGGGTCACGCTGGAGCCACGCTGGCTGGCCTGCCACCGCCTTGTCCTTGCTGCCCAAAGCACCCAGGGAGGATGAGAGGTGTCACGCTGCTCGGGGGCCTCATGCCAGGATGGGGGTCCCAACCACCACCTCCTGCAACCTCAGCGCTTGTGGCTTCTCCCAGGGGCCCAGGCAGGAGCAACCTCGGGTGGCAAAGCAAGTGGAGGGGCAGAGGGCATGGAGCAGAGGGGCACAGCCAGCCCAGCCTGAGCAGGAGATCCAGAGGGCTGTCGTGTGGATGCTATGCCTGTAGATGGCACCTTTCACTCTGCCTCTGCTGAGGAGAAAAG